TTACAAAGTAACGCGTTACTGTAACGCAACTACTTTTGTGGTAACTAATAGCGTTACTAGTTACCTATTCCCATTAAGCAACGCCGTTATAGTTACTGTGATTTAAATGGGTGCATTACTCACATTATGTTATGGAACTGAACCAAATCTCCCTGCGGATGTAACTTACAGGCGAATACAGCGATGTCCTCTCACAGCACCATGGAAAAGTGAAAGTAACCAGAGAGGAGTGATGATTGGTTAACGCGAGGTAACATTTCAGGGTAAGCCAATCAGAGACAGAGTTGGGGGCGAAAATACACAAACACTTGCTAATGCTAACACACACGGCAACGCTCACCACCAGCACACACACACACACACACACACAATGGCAGATGCAAGTATCAGCGAGAGCAGCAGCGCATTTGCAACTTGGAAATATAACCACTATTTTCAATTTGTGGGGATAAAGGACGCAAAAGATCTTACGGTAAAATGTAAACTGTGTGCAGGACAGAAAACATTGTCCACATCGAATAACATCAATGCCAATCTCCTGAAGCACCTAACTAATGTACATGGGACTATAAAACTAGTCGCCAAAGACCCCACCGTCTCAACCAATGTCTAAACATATCTTTTGTGTTTTATTGTTCCACTACATTTCATAATGATAATTGCTACAATGATGGGGAGTTGTCTTTTCTCTTACTGTGCCACAGAACAACACAAACACTCGTATTTGTATTGTTATTATTTTTAAAGTAAAGTAAAGTAACTTGTTACTAGTTACTTTTATAATTTAGTAACTAATAAAGTAACTAGTTTTTTGAGGGCAGTAACTATAACTATTACTAGTTACTTTTTAAAAGTAACTTGCTCAACACTGCTGAAAACACACAGAACCTTTAACAGAACATGTCAAGAATAGAAAATGCTCTAAGATTGTTGTCACTTTATTGTTTTCACATTGATATACACTGAAACTGTTACCTCCTAAGCTCTCTGATTGCAGCGATGACACCCGAGAAGTCTTCGGGTCGTGGAGGAAACGCTTTGAGAAAGCCACATAAGTCAAACGTTCTGCCAGTCCAGGAAGTGGTTTTATTTTTCATGTTCAGTGTTTGTGTCATGTTATCATCTGCAGTGGAGGAAATGTCACAAACACGGACACTGTTTCCATCTGATAACTAAACGTAAGTGTTATTTAACAACATGTGGAGGCTAGAGCCCAGTGTAAAAATACTGTAATGTAAGACAGCACAGTGGAAGAAGTATTTATATGTTTTTTCTTCAGTAAAAGTATCAATGTCACACACACTGTACAAACACTACAAGTAACATGATTTTAGTGAAGAGAATAAAAACACAAGTATTAGAAGTACTCATCATAAAGAATGACCCCTTTTAAAAATGTTTAATAATATATATTATATTATGATCTCATTTAAAATGTTCCATGTTTCTTCTGAAATATAATGAAGTAGGAGTATAAAGAAGCTTAAATTGAAATAGTTAAGCACAGTGGAGTTGCTTTCAAGTTGCATACTTTTTATAGTTTTTGTATTTTTCTCAAACAGTCATTTTAAAAGTTCTGAATTTATTTTTGATAAATATATTTCTCGCCATTTTTTTTCAACTCAACAAGGCAATTACTAATTTACCCCCCAGTCTACGAATTCATTTATTGTGCATTTGAGTACTATGAAAAGTACTCTATATATAAAAAGTATTATCACCATTAATATAATAAAATAAAACTATGACTGATAAGGTAATACTGACATTATATAGTAAAAAGCGTAAATAAATATAAAACAATTATTATCATACTAAAAAATATTAAGTAGAGGTTACAAAGCTGCTAATGAGAGAGCAGTTTATTATTTATATGAATACTTTGAAGTGGGCTTATTCCATTTCTTTAAAAGGGAAATCTGGAGCTGTGTGTTGGAAAGAAAGCCGGTTTGTTTATTATGTCCTCAAATCCAGTCTTCACCACCTACTTTACGTCACTGTTCACATACCTTTACTCCTTTTTCTCCCTGAAATAAAGAAAAGACAGATATTAAGTAGAGGTATTGTTTGCATCTGATTATACTGGTGCACAGAGTGTTTAGAGTTTCTACCTTCTGTCCTCCGCCCTGAGAGGAGGAGGAGGAGGACCCGGAGGAGGACCCAGAGGAGGAGGACTTCCCCTTCGGCCCTGCGGGGCCAAGGTCCCCCGTTAAGCCCTGGTCCCCTCTGTCTCCTTTCTCCCCTTTAGAACCGGCGGTACCTGAAGGAGGCGTGAGAGAAACTGGTTAGGAACGACTGGGTTTTAAAGCCATGCTTTAATATACATCATGCACTCCACTCCACTTGCAAATGCATTCTGGGAACCAAAGCAAAACACGCATACTGACCGCACTTTTTATGCACTCAAAACATATTATTATATTTTTGACAGGAATATCTGACTTTATATAGAACCACACACAGTTTGTGCAAGTGAGATATGTGCAAAATTGACTTTATTGCCTGTTTGTGAAATGTTAACCATTCCATCAGTTAAAGCCAAAGGAGAATGAATACATTAAATCCTTAAAATGAAACATTTGTATTGGGATATTTCTCTAGTCATCAGGCATGTATTTTCCTCTGACTGTGCATACATCAGGTCGTACCACTGATGATCAGCACATTCATTACTACCACCACCAAACTGCATAATGTACCCTTTATTCTTTAAGGAAAAACCCCAATTATTACTTTAAACTTTAAAGAGTGCACGGAAACACCACAAGCACACTTATACAGATCTGATGTTTTGAAATGATGTGAGATAAGGTGATAATGAAGAACAGAGCATGAGTTTCTACTCAGTGCTTTTTCTCCATCTAGTGGACACATGTAGGTACAGCAGTGCTGCAGTTAGTTTTTCCGTCAAAGGCCGTCAAAACATAAGATTGCAGTTCATCAAATTACCCACAAAGAGAGGTGTAGAATTTGACCGCTTCCACTGAAGCCTGAGGAATGTGGAACAACCTAAATAAAATAAATCCTCCTCCACCATCATCATGCTCTCAGCTCCAACATGACACAAAGTACAGATCGCTCATTCTACACTGTGATAGGATGGCCGCATGTTGATTAGGACATGCATTACTGCCAGCCCCAACACGGTCCTTTTGCCCCCAGAGACCCACCTCTTGGACCAGGTGTTCCGGGCCGGCTGTTACCAACATCCGGCTGCTGATACCTGACATCTAAAGTCATAAAAACACAACTTGAATGTGATGTCTCGGTAATGTCTACCATAATTTATTCAAAAAGTGACGGGAGAGTTAAGTATCTATTTCAGATCTTTACCCTTGAGGTTGGACAGAGACAGGCAGTTTCATTAGCATTCCTGAAAAGTCGTTCATTAAAGCCTTACCGGCGCTCAATATGCAAAACTGCTAAAGAGATGACTGGGTTTGAGATTTCCTGTACACCTATATTAACTGGGACCAAACTGACATATCTTCAAATTGGCCTTAATTGCTTACAATAAATGTATTAGTTTAGTATAAAAAAGTGTGCAAATGATTGCCCTATATCCATGTGGCTTTAGGGAATTTCCATGTACAAAAATTTATCAAATTCAACGTCCAAATCACATCTCTTTGATAAACACCAGTCTGGCTTTACATAGAATCTATCCCTCAGCCTGTAGTGGGTTGAAGACCTTAATATTGTCTTTGTTCTGTTTTTTTTTATCACCTACACGTACATGTATTGTCTCTTGTAAACTGTTTTATGTTCGAAAATAATCAATGAATAAAGTATTTATCTGCTAATTGGGGCAAGTTTAAAGCTACTAATCTTCTCTCTTAAAGGTCACCTATTATGCAAAATCCACTTTTTCCTATCTTTTAAACATAAATATGTGTCTATTCTGTGTAAACAGATTCTGAAAGTTTCAAGAACAAAAACCCCCACTCTTTAAAAACCTGTCCGAAAATGAGCTGATCAGATTTTGTCACAATGTTTTTTTGGGATGTGTAACCATCAGCCAATCACCAACCAAGGTAACACCCCCCAACTTCTTATCACCTGAATCTCCTCCTAGAGCACCATTGTGTTTTTTTAACCAATCACTTCTTAGAGGGGCGTGGCCCGCAGCAGCTCATTAGCATTTAAAGCTACAGACACGGAATAAGAACTTTTGGAACAGGGCTGAAACAGAGGGGATTATGGGATGCTGCAATGATCTGTTTGGTATTTGGAGCCAAACACTTCAGAGAAATGTTCTGTATATATCTGAGACCTATAATATACTGTTGAAAAAGAGTATAATAGGGGACCTTTAAATCACTAAAAATAACTTCCTTAACTATCCACCAGGGGGAGCTAAAGAGCTTAACATGTGAGAAGTATGTTGTAGCTGCTCCCCCCGTCAGGTCCCGACAGGTAGTGATCTACCTTTTTTTTGGCAGTGTCTGCTGTATGATTAAAACCTTCCATTACACTTCTCCACAGTGTGAGTGTCATGTTGGCAGTCACACACTGCACATGTTGATGGCAATGAAGAGCTTTTACCTGGTTCTCTGAGTCTGTTCCCCTCTGAGGGAATCAGAGGGGGGGCAGGTACCGGCCGCAAGGGACGAGGAGTGGTCTGGAAACAGAAGACAATATAATAGTTTCAAATATCTGCAGCATACACTCCCTATTATCAGAAGTATTCAGATTATATATGTACTATGGGTGTCATTGCTCTTATTTCAGGTGAACTCAAGCTGCCACTAAAACTTTGAAATACCAATATTTTATCAACTTGTAACTTAATATTCAACATATTTGCTAAACATTATCCTTCATTATTCTCATAGGAGAGTATTTAAAAACACATACACTGCCTTTACACTCAACTTGATCGTGCAACCAGGCTCAAATGTATCCAAAGTTTATGAAACAAGTTCTAAAATAACTAAAATGTTGGAACTGGCTGGTTATGTGCTCGCAGTTACATGAAAGGTGTGTTGGGAATCCTCCCAGCATGCACTATGGCGAGATGAATTGACATAATTCTCATGTTATGCGTGTGTCTTCATAATAAGGGATATATATTAAAAGAACAAACAGTTTAACAAGATTCTGATGCAATATATTACAAAAGAATTGGGGTATAAAACCAGCTGTTCACTGTCTGTCTGTCACATTACAAAACACAAATGTATTTACACACATTCATATAAATAAATAACCTGTAAGTATTGTATCAAGTAGACATTTCATTTAAATGACTTTACTGACCTTCACAGTGCGTCCTGTCTGTCTCCGCTCGCCGTCACCGCTGCCGAAGTCACCAGAGGCCTGCGAGACAAAGAGAAGGGAAAAAAGTGACACAAATGCCTTTTTCAAAGAATTTGACAGAAATAATTAAAAAGCGAAACACTCACAGCGTCAGAGTCGTCCTCGTCGTCACACAAACGCTCCGCTGCACGAGGGTCCCCCACCACTTTCAGATCTAGAATCACACCCTAGAAAAAACACACACACATGCTAAATGCATTTTTATCTACAGTGACTCATTGTTTGCAGTCATGCTTTCTCTATAAGCTGCAAAGAGATGGAAAATATGTGAAATGACTCATGCAGAGCTATGTGAATGACCTTCTTAAATCCTCAACCAGCGGCCATTCTCTGGATATTTAACACGATGCACACTGTGAAGACTTTATGATGCATACAAAGTGAGAATACTCAGCCTTGGAGACCAGTGTATGTCCTTTAAAGAGTGTTTTGTGCTTCATGTTGGCCAGTTTAAGTTCTTCACAAATCATAGTCATTTCTTCTCCCCTTTAAAGGCCATGTGAGTGTCCCATGTGGTCACTGAAGGGGTGCCAGCAGAAAGGTCAGAGGTCAAAAAGGTGGTAGGGTCATGTGATAGATTTACAAGAGGAGTGTTCATTCTGCCCTTCCTGTTGCCTATGACCCAGCACACCTGCAGCGAGATGCCACTGGGAGATATTAAAGAGGAGAAGAGGTCTCACACACACACGCACACACACACCTGCTCTTTCAGCACATAGTGAATTATTCTGACTTTTCCCAGTCTCAAGGGTGACATTTGGATGAGGATGTGATGAGCAAACATCTCATCAGCACTTGAGCATTTCCTCTGCTGGCACCCTGGAGTTTAGGGTAAAAGAAAATGGACTTCTCTTCCAAACTCTCGTGTGCAAATTAGGTGCATCTCCAAAATACAGATTTTATAGTCGGTAAAAGTTAGTCCTGCAATCCAGTTACACAGCACATGTTGTTTATTCTTTGTTGAATATGCTCCAATTCTGAATGGGAATCATCCAAAGTCACTTTTAAGACAGGATAAAAAAAATTGAAAGTGGCTCCACCAAACGCAGCTGAGAATTGCAGCCTTGTTTTGTCCAAATGTGGAAGGTAAACACGATAAGCTCCTAGAGTCTGGGAACAACATTTCCCACATTAAGATCCGACAGTCTGTAAACACAAGATAAATCAAACAACACTGAAGGACACATGGAACTCAAATATGTTGGAGCTTCTCCGGCTTATTACTTTCAGGAAATAAAGATTTGTTGAAGAGTTCAGGGAAATGTAAAACCTCTCTTGAGAAGCTGATATTCTGGATAACAGTCTCATAAATGACTTGCCTCCTTGGGCTGGGGGTAAATCATTATTATATGTTCTGTGAATGATCTTCTTAAAATCTTTCACCAGGGGGCTTATAGTGGCTGTTAAACATAAAACCATTTGAAGTCAAGGTGGGCATCATGAGGCTAAATGGTGAGAATATTCTTGATGAGAAACCTCTTTATGTCCTTAAAGAAGTTTTATTTTGGTTAGGGTTTTGGAGTTCTATCCCATGTTAACTTCTTCTCCACTACTTTTTTTCCCTAAGATTACCTTGAACTTGTCGGCGTCGGCCCCCCCCGCCTGCCCCACAAAGATCCCGGCCCCCGGGTCCAGCTCCATGGGGTCGGGGGAGCGCTCGAACTTGACCACCTGGGGCTCCGAGTCGCAGCCCTGGTAGAAAGTGACCTGCTCGTCGAAGACGGACAGCGAGAAGCGGCTCCAGGTCTCCACCAGGCTGGGCACCTCGAAGCTGGCGGCCTCGTACGAAGCCTCCGAGCCGGGCTCGGTGTAGAAGAACTGCACCCTCTGGCGGCCATTCTGCACCGCGCTCAGCTTCACGCCCACGTACATGATCTTCTGAGGCCCGTCGGTGATGGAGAACAGCACCGAGGCGTCGGGGGAGGTGGGCTTGATGTGGAAGACGAGGGAGAAGTGGCGGTGGAAGGGGTTCGGGATGTGGGCCAGAGCCGGCTGGCCCGACACTGACGCCCGGTTGAAGATGAAGCCCCGCTCCCCCCTGGGTCCAGTCATCCTGGGGATCTCATCCGGAGGGGGGTCTCCGATCAGCTGCAGCAAAGAGACGCCGCTCTCCGCTGGAGGAAGGAGGAATGGGAAAAGATTTTGAGACATTAGGTGGAAAGATATAAAAAATAAAAGAGGTTTCTTTAAAGGAATTAGTAAAGAGCAATAAAATGGCAAATATGAGATTTTAAAAAAAAGGGACGACCCTTTTAAGTAAAATGTAACTTATTTGGTGGGCTCTCCAAAAATCCTTTCAATATGGCACGTATTGTGCTATATTTCACCCAAATATTTAAAATATGTGTCCAAAAAAGTATATTTTCTAGAGTTTATATAGAGTTTACTATGTGCACTTGAACAAAACATGAGTACCAAAGACAGGGTCAGTTTAAAGCACAGAAATGATCAGCAATCACACGTTCTTTGGAGAGAAAAATGTTAAAATATAGAAGGTATTAACAGTCTATAAGAAAATATTGTAGATATCCAGGAGCTATAATTGAAAAAAAGTCATTTCTTCTCATGTTTTTACAGGTTTTAGGAGAAAATGCAGGTTATGACATGTTAAAACTTGTTAAATGTGACAGATTTTAACAGCAGGAAGCAGGATAAGTTAAGAAACCATCACAGATCTACTGATTCGTGACGGGTGCCCCTGCATCAACAAACACTAAACCACAGTGACCCTGCAGGTCAGACCCTAACCACACAGCAGTGGTCAGTGCGCTGTGAAGAGGTAAAAGTGCCCGAAACTAAGTGCTATTGAGATTCAAGTTCCATGCCAGTGTCTGTGAGACTTGGGGGGGGGGGATTCATGGAAAAACTGCTGATGTTTCAGTTCCCATACAGTCAAACGGCCCCAGAGACAGACAGATAATATTCTCATAAATCTCCATCACCAGGGAGGAAGCCTTTCCTCCCGGCGGACACTTCCACTCCTGGGGGGGGCCTGTCAGCGCAGATTCACGAGAGACAACGTGTGCTTTAAAGGGTCACAGATCAGGGGGGGTTCCCGAAGTTTATTAATGATGTAAATATAGATAGAGTTAACTGTTTAAGTAAAAAAAAAACTAGAGGAAGCTGTAACTCTGACAAAGAGGAGATGGGAGAAATGAAAACATCATAATGGCTGTTCACAGCAGTTTGAGTACAGAAAATAAAAACATTTTGTTGCTAAATTTGGCTGAAAAGGAGAATTAGAAGCCAGACTTTGAATTACAACCTATAGCTATGTTTCAATACTGATTAATCTGCACAGTATTTTCTCATTTAAAATATTGTTTTAGACTAAAAGTGTCAGAAAATAGGCACAATTTCCCACCTTGGCTTCAAACTGCTTGTTTTGTCTGACTAACAGTAGAAAATGCATATTAAAATGATGATTACATTCGGTAAAGAAAAAGGAAGGAATTCTAAAAATGTAGAGCCATTTCCATACAAATAAAATGTGAAACTACTCATTGATTTTGAACAATTTTCTCTGTCGACTTCTTCATTATTTTAGCCCTGAAGTGAGAGAAAACTATCAGAAAAAGAAATGGAACATTGTTCAAAATGATAACTGACTGAGCTTTCTGTTCCTTTTACTTTATATTTCCTCTAAAGTTTTAAATGAGTGTTTGGACAGGATATTGCGTCATCCTTCTGGCAGTTACCTAACCTCAGAAATGTTCTGACACCTTCTCACCTGCTGAGAGGAAACACTCCAGCATGGAAAGTTATTCGGGGGACAATCAGCTCATAACACACTGCACATCTGAACCCGCTAACCTAGCGCTGGCAGGGAGTAAAACACATGTTCTCTCACACACACACTTTTGTGCACAGTCCTAAGCCTGTGAGATTTGGTCCAATTGGAGCAGGTCTCGCCGGGTGGTCAGCTTCCCACTGTGGGCACCTGCTATTGGTTAATCTCAGAGACACAGCTGCTGCAGCTGCTGGGTAACATTATGAAATAAAAAGTTTGATTTCTGACAAAAAAGGGAAATTTCCTCTTCTGCAGCAGCATGTGAAATGTGGTGTTGTGGTTTTATTCAAGATCCTGTTTCACTTCACATCTGGAAGCAAAGTATTCTATCCAACATCTATGCAGGCTTTTCTAATATCAGGGTTACAATCTTGGTCTCAGGCTCTATATTTGTCCTGTGAACCAAAACATGCAAAAGCAAGCAAAGAAGACCAACTAATCTGAAGCCATTTCTCCAAATAATCTCACCCATTTGGGCCAATTATAATAAAATAAACAAAAAGACCACCATTATTATGTATTAGTCCAGCTGTTAATGCTACAACATTTACTTTTTTAGACACAAGGGTGCCTCCATCCTTATGTTTACTGACTGTTCCTGCAGCAACAGCCCATTAACTCTTACTTCATGTAAGTGATCAGCTGTTTCTCTCACTTGGCTGCCCTCCAGAGGACGCCTGACGTGTGAACCTTGCCTCCGAAACAACCAGTTAACCCTGCTGATGGCTCCCGTCTCCGCCCTTTTGCACCCAGAGGAACAACATGCAGCAGGCATGGGCACATAAAAATGACCTCATGTATTCTGTTTCACAGGATTGATTTAAGTGCCATGTCTCTGTTTTCCAACTTTAACCCCCCCGGAGAAATCCAATGCCTGTTTAACCGTGTGAAGACGTTGCCAGTGGAGAGAGCCACAGACAGATGGAGGCAGAGGGAGGAAATGAGTGTCAGATGTCCATGGGAAAGAGGACCATGAGGGACTCCAGGGTGAAGCACACAAGCTGACTCTGTCCCAGAAGTCTGCACGGACACTACAGGCCAGTGGAAACAGGCTGAAATGTCATTGTGAGGCTGATGGACTCCTCCAGAGGCGTAGGAGTGCATCATCAGGGGGGGAAACATAAACACACAAAAAAGAGGTACAAAAAAGACCTGCCGACAAGAGTTTGTATCCCACTTTTAATGGTCCCAAGACATTGCCCCCAGATTTAAGAGTGTAAAGTTTCATTTAGCCATTTTTTTCAGGCATGATCGACTATTTTCAGTCCTGTGTTTGGTTTAGGTTCAGGCTAAACAAAGCAAAATTGTAGTTATAAGTGGAAAATAAGTTCAAATAGACCTGCAATGACGAATCAATTACTTGTGAACGTTTAAATACATTAGCAACTAGTGCTGCTGTGAGTGTATTGCTGATATATTGACTATGTGTTAACTAAATCTGAAGATGTCATCTAAAAACAAATATGCCAGAAACATGCATACGGAATAGAAAGTGCTTAGTAACAACATAAATATTGGATTGGTGGCAACAGAACTCGTCATCAAAGGTCTTCCAGCTCCATTGCAATCAAAAATGTCTGTATGTTCAAACTCAAAACCCTTTCATTCCTGCTCAATAACTACACAAAAGTATTCTTATTATTCTACAGTATGAGCTATAGGTTTGTTTTGTTGCATGCCAAAGGTTGAAGAAAATTAGACCATTATTAAATCATGCCTCATCCAGAGCAGCACACTGCAGCCCATAAAAGGAAAAGTAAGCGGAGAAACAACAAGGTAATTCAATCGACTAATATGCAAGGAATCTGAGTCCTTTAAACACTTCAGGCAGCCTACATCTCCACCTCAGAACTAGGGCTGCAACTAACATTTCATAATATTGATAGAAAATGTCAGAAAAGAGTACAAACATTTCTGTATATTAAGTCCTAAATGTCTTGTTTTGCCCAAATATACTCATTATAATATGAATTAAATCACAGAAAACAGCATTTTCTGACATTTCTGCATGAAAAATTAGTAATCTATGAATATTAGTCGACTAATAGTTGCTTAAGAAACCTAATTCTGTACCCTCTCAGTCACAATGTTATCAGTCCCAGTTGTAGTATACTCTCTGGGGACAGAAGCAACTGGACTTCACACGTCTGAAGAAAGATTGGCTTCAGTTAGCGCTTCAGACGGAGGCGGCACAGCTGTGACATGTAGGGCCTCCGTCAGACTTTAATCCGTGTTAGAGTAAACTGTGAGCTGAGAGCAAATTAAAGCTGACTGATGGGGGATCAGCGAGGGGCTCGGATGACATCAGCTGGATTTCTTTTAAGTCCAGCATTTCTGAAGATTTGAAATAGTGTGGTGTCTTGGATGCAGTCCAAATGAAATGTTGTTTCTGTGTGAAGGATGTATTTGGGCAGAGGGGGGAAATGTTTGAACAGGTACCAACAACCATCAGCACTACTGGAATGTGTGCATACTCAAACATCGGACCATACGATTCCAATGCTTCTGAAACTATAGTTGCAGACACAAATAAGCTCCAGAGACAAACACAAATCCTGTCTTTAGTCTCAAGCTCCAAAAACGTTTGATCGTACTCTTTGTACACTGAAGTGTTTTCGTTCTAAAGAAATCAGACATCTTAAGAAAATATCCTGGCTTTTTTGCAGAGCTGCATAAGAAGATCGATACAATTTCATGCATCTATGTTAAATATGAAGGTAAAACCAGCAGATAGGTAGCTTAGCTTAGCATAAAGACTGAAAACAAGGGGAAACAGCTAGCCTCTGAAAGTCATGAAATGGAGAAAGAAAATCAACCCTAATGAAAACTTAATGAAAAAGATAATTTGCACACTCAAACCTGTGCAAAGATATTTTTAATAAGCACATTTTCCATCAAAGACCTTCTTCAAAGCTTTTGACATCTTAACAAAGTGTAGTCGCTAAGCACAAACTTCTTCACAGCCACAAAAGACATGCAACATTTTAACAAGCTGACCACCATGACCAAAAAAACTGACTTATGTTTGTAGAAATGAATGCTTTTTACTTTAAGTACTGCTTTACTTTTCTCACATACTGTTTTCCATTCTGGCAGCTGTTTCTAAGGCTGCAGGCACCAGCTCACCACTAACTATCAAACGGGAAGTGCCCAAATTAGCGACACATAAATGCAAATGGGTCCAATATGGAGCTTAAAGCGATTAAAGTGTTTTTGAATCACTTTCCCAAAAGAACGGGTAATTCCCGCTGTTAAAAAATCTTCTTTCATTCTTTGTCTCTGCTCTGCTTCAAATGCTCGGCGGAACTCTTAATTATCACCCGT